TAAAGTCTGAAAATTTGCTTGATTAATCACCAAAAATCACTTGTAAGAATCTCTAACAATCAATCACTCAAAACACAAAGTCTAATAATATGATGTTTAATCTCACAGAGTCTAACCTCAAAAACAAGGTTTTTCAAACTATTTATAAAAAAATAAAAACCTAATTAAACAAGGATTCTAATTACTGGAAATCTATCAAAACGCGGCTGGGTCGATGGACCACGCGACGGACCGTCGTGGTCATGACGGACCGTCGTGGACTATGTCGTCCCATACTTGGTGCAATTCTTCTGCTGCTTTCTTCATTCTCCTCGACGGCAAGTGTGACGGACCGTCATAGGTACAACGGTCTGTCGAGGGTCTCGTTTCAAAATACTTCAACTCTTGGAATCTGGGTACTGGGATCACTTCTATGATCTTCACGACGAACCTGCAAGACGGACCGGCATAGCCATGACGGACCGTCACAAGCTTCGTAATCCCACACTTGGTCAGACTTTCCCATCTTCCTTTAGCAGCTTCTCTACGCTGCCATCTACGGACCGTCACAGGCACGACGGACCGTCATAAGCTCCGTAGGTGGTCTCTTCTTCATTTTTCGCTCAAAATCTCCGCATTCAGCTATGGACAGATTTCTTGCAAAACAAAGAGAAACTTATATCAAAATTAGCACAAAAAGGGCTTTCAGACACACTAAACTTAAGGAAAAAGTATTAATTATACCGTGAAACCACGGTATATCACGTTCTCTCCCCTTTTACATTCATTTTGTAGGTTTTCTAATTATTAAATTAATAAAGTAGTCAATATGCTCTTTTTCTTTAAAGAAAAATAATTTGTGGGAGTTGAATTTATTAGGGATGAAAAAGACAATCAAATTAAGGATCTAAAAAGAGATAATTTTTTTTAAAATATGATTGTTTATTTTTATTATGTAAAATATGGATTACTTATATTTTTTATCGGCACATGATTTTTTTCTCAATTTTACAAATTTAATCTTATCATTTATTTTTAATAAGGGAAATAATTAGTTAACAAAAAATATATATGATCATTTGTTAGACGATGAGGGCATATGCATAACCTATTACATCAACTGAAGAAAAGACATATTGCTGGGTGAGTGTGTGTGTATGGGGTGGGGGGATTAATTGTCTATCTTTGTCGTCTATGATTGATTAGACGGAGGACCTCACGGACCAAATTTGTGCTTGAACAATGTTGTCTTTGTGTGATGGGCTTCTCATTGTGAGGTCCATTAACCTACATGGACAACATTTTCACAATATTTTATGACTGCTTAAAATAGATTTTTCCTTGTCCCTCTCGTGAAAAAACTTTTGTCTTCTCAAAGTAGGCTCAAATCATGATCCTTTTTGGATTGGTAATGTTGCATTATATGTGTTTCTCATACAATATTTTAGGTGTAATATAATCTCCCTAAGAATTTTTAAGTACCTTCTCACAAGGAAGACAATATATCATCATGAGAAATCTTAAGAAATTCTTTTTAATATTTATTCTTGACATTATGATTTATTATTATTTTGTCATTTTAGTCCACATATAGATAGTGATGGTCATCTATTATTATGTTGTAACATACATCATGTCACATTAATTCCTCACTGGTGACACTTAGCACACAATTGTACATGTAACTCTAATTCTAATTCTAATCTGTTTTACATTTCTCTAGTTCTTCTCTTGTGCCTAGAGTTTTTCCTACTCACAGTAGGATCAAATCATGACCTAGATTGGTTATGATTAATCATATGTGATGTTTGAATGACTTTATAAAATATATTATAGTTTTTGTGTTTTAAAAGGTATGAATGAAAAATAAAGAGTTGCAACTTTAATGAAGAGTTGTGACTTTTATGAAAAGTTGCGACTTTTATGAATAATTGCGACTTCAATGAAAAGTTGTGACTTTTATGAAATGTTGTGATCTCTCCGAAAGATTGTGACTTTTTCAAAGGTTTGTGACCTGTCTTGTAAGACACAATAAGAACTTTTTTGTACTACCCTTTATTTTGTATAAATTGAGGGATTTTCTTTTATTTTAGGGGACTGAACTTCTTTTTCTACTACTAAATCTAGTACTCTAAGTATACTTTACTACTGTTGAGCAATTCGCTGGCATTGTGATCTTAGGTACCCTATACCGGTGAATAATATAGTTCTATCATGGGAGGATATATTCCATTTACCTCAAGTACTTGAGGGGAATAATATCCTTAAGGGAACAATATGCGTTCAATGAGCTTAATTTTCGTCTTTTAGAAATTATTTTTGTACATTTTTTCTAATCTATTTCTGATTCTATTTTCTATAATAGTTTTAATTTTTTATTTGTGAAAATTCTCTTTAATCTTTGTTATCTCTTACCAACTTCTTTAAAGTTTTGTTCTTAGTATCTTAGGAATACAAGATGGACAACACTAGTTTTTTTATGGGATCATCAAGCGCAAATATGATTGATTCTTTTTAATTTTAGACCTTAACTTGATGCTTTAATCATATCTTTCCATTGTAGTACATTTCTTCTAATAGAAAACCGTATATTATCATGTTGTAACGTACATCATGTGACATTAATTGCTCTCGATTAAACTTTAGTCACACAATTATACTACCATCGTAAAATTTTAAATATAAATTTTAAGCTATCAAGTAACAAAAAGTATTTACTTGATTAATATTTTTGAATAATTATTATAGTTGATATTTAAAGGGCCAAGTTCATGGTTTATTTAATACACTTTATAACTTGGTGCATGTATTGAAACAAGTTAGTGGGTTTAATATTTTTATATCTTAATTTGAGTAAGAAAAAGAAAAGTGAGAGGGGAAATAGATGCCACAAGATGAGAACGACTTCAGGTAGCACAAATTCCAATCATACTATATTCATTCGATATACTTATGTTGATTGTTTATATGAATAGTGAGTATTTGGTATTGGATGAAAGACACAGAAATAATTTGATAGGGCGGGTTGTAAGTTTTTAGATGTGGATAAATTTGAAGTTAGATGGAAGGTTGAAATCAACAAGAAATGGGGGCCAACCATTGGAAGGTGATGTGATAATTTGGAGTTTACAGAAAAAGGGGATCTTGACTTCTTGTTGTTCATGACAGCCGCTGGTTACGAAACTAGTGGCTTACATTTTGATTATCCTTAATTATTTGTCATATTAGAAATTATGTCTTTGATATATTGAGTTAGATAATTAAATATAAGATGTATTGTAAAAGTGAACACCATTAGATTTATGCTATTTTGGTAAATTGAGACTTAATCATAGGCTTAAAATTTACGAATATATGAGACTTGACAGATTTAGTTGGAACAAATATTTATGAATTTAATTATAAGTTGGGGATTTTTGACCTAGTCTAGACCTATAGTAATATGGGTGCCTACGGATTCACTTCTTATGAATATTGCATATTTGATAGATTAAGAATATTCAGAAAGTTTGTGAGAGGAAATAGCGAAACCTTGAAGGTTCGTGCACATGTTCAACATTTAAGGTATGTAAGATTTCCAAAATTTTTAAAATTAAAATTTTCTAATTTTAATGATTAAAATGGAAACATACAATGGGTAAGGGCGAGAGATGGGGTATCATACCACTGGATTGATGGATATTGGTACGACGAGTAACATTATTTTAAAGGGAAAATATAGTACTATAGAATGACAGATTGTACTTCGAGAATGTAAAAGCCTATGAGCATTACCTGATGTATTATTCAATTGATATCTTTTGTGTGATTGTGATTATTTATTGAACCCATAAATTTGTAATAGTTTAAGGGATATTATACTTTCCATATGTGTTGGACATGTGTCGATCAATCCTGCTGGAAATTTTGAGATGTTATGACTGTAAGTTGGGAAAGTGGGGATCATTTGTGATGGGAATTATTTGATTTTATCATAGTGAGTTCAGATTGCTCACAGAGACATGTGAAACTCTTCTGTAATGGTATATGGACCTCGCCATTCCCCCGGGGTAATCTACTCTTCATGTATTTGAGAAGTATAATGTAAATACGGTTGAGACACTACTTGGTATATGCGGTATATCATTTAATAGTTTTTCATTATATTGAATATCATTACATCCTTTAGTCATATTTGATTACGTGTTTATTGGGTGGATGGACTTTACGTGACCTTTGTGTAACAATTCGAGAGCACCCCCTAGTCGTTATCGGCGTATTAGACATTAAAGAGGTCTTAAGCCCTTAGCATTCATCATAGCATGTATCGTTGAATAAAAGTGCGGAAAATTTAAAGCTTCTATGGTGGAAGTTCAACTTCACTTCATATATGAAAAACTGAATCTAACTTCGTCATATCATACAATCTAAACATAGGAGAATGGAAATTTGGGATTTAGCCTTTACATCAGTAAGAAGTCTAGAACTAGGAAAGTACAACAATGTCTTTCAACATAACAAAAGAAATAAAAGCTAGAACATAAGGATCTTATCTTGGGACTTGAGGATTCACCAACTTGGAGATGCAAATCTAAGTGTCTTGAGAAATATGTCACGACTGGAGTGTAGACCCTACACGATATCGGCGTCGTTAACCTCTCAGAGGTCGCTGATAAGCCTACATACGTTATTCATACTTCACCTAGGTTAATTTAAGCGGAAAAATTAAAATTTTTTTTTCTTTAACATACTTGCTAAACATTCTTAACATTTCATAATCGTTTATCATCAACCATCTAACATTAATAGATAAGCAATTGAGAGAAATAGTTTAATAAGTATTAATTGTATAATTTCGAAAATGGCACCAATACAAAGTCTGAATCAAAACAAGAAAGAAACACTAGTGGAACATGCTCCACTAACTCACTCTAAAACTAAGCTGGAATGTAAAATAATAATATCCTTGAAAGCATGAGGACCTACAAAACTCCGGATGAATGCTAACGTCTGGATAGCTGCAACAATGATCCTGTAGCTCTATTGCCAACCTGTGCCTGCACCTAAAATAATATAGATGTATAGGGTTAGTACACACTTTTACAAAGTATGGGTATATGCAAGCACACACCAAGGACATGCATGAGAAAGATTGCTCTTTTCTAACGACATGAATTTTGGAGATCAAGTCGGTAGACTTGCCAACTCGAGATAAGGAAAGTTAGTGAACTTTCCAAATTTGATTAGGAAGGTCATGTCACGAGAGTAACATGCATCATCATAAATATCATATTGAACACAGTACGTAACATATTTATATAGTACATACCATAGCACATAACATAGAACACATAGCTTGTTTCATATCATTCATTCATATGCCATGAGACCTTGAAATCATGGACTTGACATTAATACTTTCAAAAATGAGGGCTAAACATATGGGACCTCAACTAGGGAGTCTTCATTAGTAAACACAGAATCTACTTCATTCATTCATACGTACTTCATTTCATTTAATTCATAGGCCAGTGTGAACACCTTCTATACCTAGGGTGTAGTTTAAGACTTTCATCGGGTTTGTTGTGCAATGATCAGGAATAACCTAATGTCATTACCTGAGTCTAGCTCACCTTTTGCTTATCCTATCCTAACACCTTTGGTAACATTCATTTAATTATGTGCTTCATTTGAGGCTGGCCTCATTCATTTATTGGGAGCTTTAACTTTAACCTACATAGATCATGTGAGCATCACGAAATCCAATATCTCCCCCACACCAAAAAGAGGTAGAATCACCGGCCAAAGTGACTCAATAATATGCTATGCATATATTGGAATTTAACCTCGTTAGATCCCTATATTGGAAGTATAGGTTCAAAGACTAGGAGATGTATGGAGACCCATACACCGCAAGCCGGACAGTCTCATCTCATGAGAGTTACGTGAACCTTCACCCTTCCCGAAAGAAGGCATCACCGCTCATAGCTAGCCTATTGGTGCTCAGTATAAAGTTCCATTACATTCAACTAATACATCATGGAAGCTGGCTTCTAGTATGAGAACAATATAGCTCATTAGATGATTTCTCATCTCATCATTAGTATTAACTGTGTTAAACTCTATACTTTCATTAAAGTGTTTATAGTGACCGATGTCTTCATTATGTTACACTCTCATTGGTGATTACGTATTGGTAACATTTACTTAGGCTTATTTGAGATTGCTCTCATCATATACATTAGCCTCATATCATGTTGTCGCCACATTCTTCATTATTAACACCATTGCTTTTCATAGTTACTGACCTCTTATTACATGAATGCTCATTTCATCATTTAATAGTTCATGTCATCATATGCCAATGCACTTGTCCATTTAGTGTATCTTACACTCATAATTAACCCTCCTAGGGTTCATCATTTCATTACGTACATCTTAGGTTCACTTACTTTTGAACATATGTTAGACTTATGTGTCTATACATACAAGCCATAGGGCTTTATTCATAGCTCGTTAAGTGATTCTTACATTCCTAAGATTATGTAGTACACTTATGTATCTTGTATATATGCCAAGATCTTGATTTTTGATCTAAGTTGATGCCATTACTCTTGGATGATTACTCACATATGACTTATGTATCAATACGGAAGTTTGGGCAAGGAACCCAAATCTTGAATCACTTGGATATCATTTATATTTTTCATTGATTTTATTTCTAATATTCATAACATTAGAATTCTATATTAAATCTCAACATTTACATTGGAAGGATAGATTTTTAATTTAATTTTACTCTATATTTATCCGATGGATTGTGGGATCCAACCCCCACAACCTCTTTTTATTTTTCATTAAGAATACATTACTCATTTTGGGCCAAACCAAGAGGTTGTAGGTTAAAACCCCCACAACCTCTTTGATTTTTCTATTAATTTCGCTGTGGAGGTTGTGAAGCGGTGGGTTCGAACCCCCACCTCTCTATAATTATTTTATTTAAATTGGGCGAGTGGCAATGAGGTTGTGGGATCAAACTCACACAGCCTCACTCCATTTCCTAATTAATTTCGCTTCTTCCTTTAGCCTTGAGGTCGTGGGTTCGATTCCCACGCCTCGCGTTTTCTTTTTCCTCATTTTCTTTTCTTTCGCGCGTACCTGGAGGTCGTGGGTTCAAATCCCACGCCTCCCATTTATTTATTTAATTAATTTTCTCCTCCTTCTCCCTACAGATCGCGAGTTTGATTCCTCCCAATCCCATTCTTTTTTTTCTTTGAGGCGAAATCTGTAGCTAGGATTGAATCCCCCAGCCCCTATTTTTTTTCTTGGCCTCCCGAAACCATAAGCTAAGGGGTTCGATTCCCCTTAGCTCCTTCACGTTTTTCTTTCTTTATCAGCCATCTCAACATGTGAGGTGTTGGGTTCAATTCCCACTGACCTCACTTATTTAATTTTCCATTTTAAGCCCATATTTCAACCTTATTATAGAGTACCCAAATCTGAAAAATTCTTGTCATTATTCAATTCATATTTAGTTCCATTGCTCATAAGTTTTGTTGGCTAAAAGATGGTTATTTCAATCCACTATATTCATAGTAATGCACATCACATTGTACACACATTGCACACATAAAATACACAAGAAATACATGATTTATACAACCCCAAAATAGTGGACAAAGCCACTGCCCACGTTCACATACACACACCAATTTTTCGATCACACTTTGAATATTGTTTTCATAATTTCCCTCACATAAACATGTTCACATTTAATATAAATACATCATTCATGCCTAAGTCTAGCATCACAACATACCCATCCTACAAATTCATTTGGGAGCTAAGGACAAGGACATACAACGGGGAACAACTTTAACTTTCAAGACATTGACAATCGTTCGAAGGAAAATACTCTTGGAGAAAGAATTCCAGGAGAGAAACCCATTCCTTTTGATGTTGTTCAAGTGTGAATCTTCTGCCCTGAAACTCCCCCAAATCACACCCAATTCTCCTCAACGTACACACCACTCGACGAACAACCTCCCTTTGCCTTGACCTTTTTGATTACCTTACTTTTCTTAAAACTTTTCGTGTGTTTTTCAAGTGTGACGAAAAATTGTTACTAAACTGTTCCTGAGCTTTCTTGTTAGTCAGAGCGTGAGAGAATAAGAGTTGAGAGACGTGAAAGAGAGTTGAGAAACGTGAGGGAGATAGTCATTAGGATTAGGAGACTAAATTCAACACTTAGCCAAAATAGGATTTAGTTGAATTAATACAAATATCTGATTTATTTTAATTAGTACATGAAAGCACTATTTTTCCCTTAATGAATAGATTTTAATTTATTATTAAATCATCAATTCTTTGCTCTTAGTGGGGCTTGAACCCGAGTGGCACCCCATTTGCGAAATGGGTCACTCCGGGTTACCCCAATCCGAATTGCTCTTTTAATTAAATTAATTAATTTATTAATTCCACAGGGTAATTAAATTATTACCATTGTCCTGGAAAAGACCATTTTACCCCTGGACCCTCAAAACTTAAAATTTCCTCTTTATGTTCGGTAAAGATTCCTTCGATTAAATCTTCATTTTCGCGAGCCTTACTTGGTTGGTTCCAACCTTTCAAAGCTCAACTAACTCCCCAAGTTAGTTGACTTCGTCGTAGTAAGGGTTTTGAGGTCTGGTTCTACGCGTTTCAATCCGTGTGAACCTTGGTTTAATAGCTATGAAAATCCTCAATGACCCAAACTATAATGTTTGGGGAAAAGGAAAGAAAATATGGATTAGTACATCACACATACTAAGTATGATTTATATGCATAACATCATCAATGCATGTATAAAAGGACATTTTTGTCAAAATATTCTTTTTACCAAGTAAATCCAATATGCACATAAGTAAGCATCATAAGGTAACCCAACATAATGACATCCCAACATTTAGACAACCTAAGCAAAACTTTTGCAATGCAACAGACAGAATCACATAACACTATCCAAAGCTAATAATCACATTAAGCAACCCACTTCATACATACATTCCTCATATCATATCATAACTTACCATATACATAAGGACCATACATAAGTCATAGTCAACATAGTCATAAGGGAAGCTACTACAACTATCTCTTAGAATCCACAAGTGCAATGTGATAAAAAAGTCCTATAACCTATTTTACACTATGTAGAACCCATTAAGAGACCCGTAATAAGAGTTCATACATTTCCTTTATTCATTTACTTTTACATTAGGTAAAGAGGTTGCAATAACTGACATTACACCACGAGAGCTACATGGAATCCGATGTTCCACTCCCAGACCGAAAAGAGAGGGTTAGCACTTTACTAAGGTGTAATCTTTCATACATAGTTATTTAGGTACATCCACTAAGCTAGAGTCCTATGTGGATATACAGTTAAGGGTCAAAGAAATTGTTACTAGAAATCCTAACATAGTAAACATGGAGGTTTCTATCTCATGAGACCACACATATATTGGGAATCTGTACTTGTTAAGCATAAGGAAATCGATGTGGTGTGCCAGAGTTACTAAAAGTGAGACTCCCATTTCATTTACATGCCCTTTCGGTGCTAAGAATCTATTCCCTTTAGGAATCATAGTTAGGCATCACATAAGTTCATGTAAGCCTTCTCTAGATCCTTATGTAAACATTTTATAATAAGAACTAATAAGTGTTTATAAGTGAGAACAATCCTTTCACCTTAGAAGCACTAGCAAGTGAGTAAACCTTACACTTTAAAATTTCATTATAATCATGAGAAATACCTTTCAATCATATAACAATCATACCATAACATACATACATACTTCATAGCTAATTTAAGTGTCATCAACAAATAACAAATTCTATATAACATCATTAATATCTAAGTAAATCATCTTTCATACTTGAGTACAATGAAGAATCCACGTTCATACCTTCTTGCCCATCATGGGACTTCATGCTTCAACCACCTAACAATGAATAACTAACAAATAATATAAGGTAATTCATGAAGAAATAACTTAACTTACATCAATATAAACAATCGGTATATTCATCATGTTTAATCAATTTACCATATGAAAAATCCAAGATTTATGAAATTGGGCAAGAGCATGGGTTCAAGGGAATTCTAAGTGAACAACAACAATTATCCATCATTATACACCTAAACCACCTTAAATAATCATAATTCACCATAATTGATTCATAATTTTGTGTTTCAAAGAAGACCCATGTGTAGAGAAAAATCCTAAATTTTTGGAGAATTTTGGAAACATCTTTGGAGGGACCTCTTGGGGAAAGGAATCCCAAGAGTAAAAGAAACCATACCTTAATGAAGATTTTGCTACGAAATTGAGTTGAATCCATTGAGAATTGATCCTCTTCTTGGAGCTCCAAAGTTCTTCAATGGAGGTTTAGCATAAAGAGAGAAGCTAGAGAGAAGGAAGAGCTTCAATATTTTGTTAACTTCTAATTGAGAGTTTTGTGTTTTTGATTGGGAAATAAGTTTAAAATGACTAGAAACTATATATATATATATATATATATATATTAATCATCCTGAAATACCCAAAACACCCTTACATTAGTTGGACCTTAAAACAAAAGTCCAACTTGATTTTTCATTAAATTCCTTATTTCGTCAAGATTTGACGGTGGGTCCGCGACTTGCCACCATGCCCCATTTATTTTTTTGAAATTTCCATTTAAGGCAGAAGATCTCGTGTCAGCTCTGCATCGTGGACCTAATATTTTCAAGAATTGGGGCCAAGCGCGCGAAGCGTGACCACTCCCATAATCTGCCCGACGAAGTCTTTTCTTCGTTATTAATCTCTAAAGCCTCTGAACTTCCCCAAATATTTCCCCAAACACTTAGGACTATAATTACCCCTTTTAAAATTATAATTCATTGCTTTAGGCTCTATTTTAGGTCATAGAATTTCTAGACCATTATAATTTGATTGTTCCTAATTGATGAAATTTGACTGATTATTATGATGTATACTTGTAAAATTAAAGGATTATTTTTTTATAAACTCATGTTACTACTTTCTCGTTGTTGGTCTACAAGACATTTGGGTACATGTGCTTTTATACTAATACAACACGATTTGCACCTCTTTATGCTGTAAATATCTAATTCTAGATACGAGTGCATCTCCTCGAACTTTTTGAATTTGAGCTTGGATTATTTTAGAGTTATGGTGAGCTGCTTGGTTGTTCCGCAGCCCACACCTCCATCCATCATGTTATTTATGTTCTTATTTTTTTTATTCAGATTTGATATTTCTTAGGCTTTTCATATAGTTTTAGATTTGCACTATATTTTAGACGCTCTTGTACTTATGACACAAAAATCATGGGTGGTATTTTAATTTTTTACACTTTTTACTTATCCAACACTCAACATTTGTGATATTCCCCTTATTGTTTATTTGTTTTTACTGTTTTCACTTTATTCATTTTATTTACATGGTAAAATTAGTGGTTTATATTACCTAGAAGTTTGAAACTTAGGTGAAATCACGACATGTGAATTTGAGTCGTGACAATTTGGTGTCAGTGCCCAAGGTAATTTGGTTTCACAAGTTAAAGAGAAATGTCTAATAGATTCTTACGGATCGGTATGATGACGTCCATACTTATCTTCGAGAGGCTATAAGTCTTTTAAGAAACAACTATCCTTTCATTCCTTATCTTGCGTACTCGACTTTGTTAAAATTCTGTTCGAGTTGTCTTATTCTCACACAAATGACAAGGACTCGTGCATTCATGATCAAAGATCAAGAACTTGTACCCGTACTCATTAAATGGTTTACTGAATGAGGTAGTTGCATGGGTGAGGTCACATTAGATGTTGTATTGCACTATTTTTGCATATTAGGCTTATAAGGACAATTTATGTGTAGAAAGTGATAGAAGGGTTCATGATGATGAAGCTCCTGAATTATATTAGTATATTTATGTGAGAATGATTATGAATTTATATCACTTTTTATGAGGGGTTTCACAATCTTGGATTAGTGTTTTTCCATAGAGTTAACTACACACATTTTCATAGTGTAATCCCTATGAAGTACTGGTTGATATATTACAATATGAGTAGGCCAACTAAGCAATATCGACTATGATAGCTCATAATTATCCCGCAAAATAAGAATTATTTAGAAGTGTACAAAAAGTATCAAATAGGAAAAAAGTGTCAAGTAAACATTGAAAATTAAAAAGATTCTACTGGGATAGCTCATGATGATCCCATGAAATTCATAGGAAAATTATGATACACTTTAAAAAATCATGTGAGAACTGCATATAATCAAACATTACCAATCCAACACATGATTTGATGCTATTGTGAGAAGATAAAAGTTTTGACATGAGAGAAGGACAAGAGCAACGTACAACCCATAAGATTTTGAAATTTTGAATTATGCGGCCAATTGCATAACTAAAGTTTCATTAATAAAGAATTTATGTCACTTCATGTATGTTAAGTCATGATAATTGATAATAAGTATTATTTAGATACGTACTAAAATGACAAATAGGAATAAAACATCATATGTAGATTGAAAAATTGAAAAACTATCTACTGCATTGCTCATGATTATCATGTATCTTCCTTGTGAAAAATATATTAAAAGGCAGAGGAAAACTATAATAAATCTAAGCAAATCTTGTGAGAATCACATAAAATCCAACATTACATATCCAAAGATATCATAATTGGAGACTGTTGTGAGAAGACTAAAGTCTAGTCACGAGAGAAGGACATGAAAATTTATAGTATGATCAATCATGAAAATATTATGAAAAACTTACTAAGTTAGGACAATAGGCCTAACAATAGTAAAACAATCACAAGAAGACCAACTTGGTAAGACCCAAATTTGGGCTCGTGTCAAGAGAGAATCACAATGGCTTCCTAACTATACATAAGACAGAGCATACTCGAATAGGCTCTTTCTTATAACTAATTAGGAAACTCTAGTGATTCTCTCTCAACACAAGCCAAAATTTGAGTCTAACCAAGTTGATTTTTTTGTGATGGGCTTCCCATTGTGAGGTCCATTGAACTACATGGGTAAGTGTTTTACAATATTATCATGATTGGATTTAATACATGTCTTTCTCTCTAAGCTAGAGATTTCTCTTCTCATAATATACCTATATGCCTCGTCTTTTCATTTAATTTTATTGTGTTGCTTTTCCCTTATATCTATTTACAATGTTCTCTACATACTTATAGATGTTTATAAACATATAGTAGTTTATAAAATGAACAATTAAGTTTTCCTTTATGCTTTGTACTATGTTTTATCAATCGGGAATTAATTTCATATGATATATGTTACGAAATAATTATATACGGTTAATACTATTTAGATGTGTAGTAAAATAAAAAATAGGAATAAAGCATCATGTAAATATAATAAACTAGAAAGAATCTATCAAGATTGCTCATGATGATCTAGTGTCTTCCATGTGAGAAGTATTAAATGTCATGCGAGAATCACATAAAGTCCAACCTTACCAATCGAAAAAGGATCATGATTTAAGCCTACTATAAGAGAAAAGTCTAGTCCATGATCGAAGGACAAGAGCAATGTAAAACTATTAGAATTTAAATTTGAATTACATGTCCAATGTTGTGAATTAAGTATCATGAATGAGGAATTAATGTCACATGATCTATAATATGGAATAATAATAGAAGGTTGATAAGTGTGTTATAATGAAAAAATAGGAATAAATCATTGAGTGAAGGTTTGAAATTTAAAAGATTCTACCGAGATTGGTCATGATGATCCCATTTCTTCATCATGAAAAGGTATTAAAATACCAAGGAAAATTATAAAATACCTAATAAAATCATACAAAAATGGCATATAATAAAAAATTTCAATCCGAAAAAGTTGTGATTTGAGCCCATTGCAGCAAGACAGAAGTGTAGGCACGAGAGAAGGACTAGAACAATGTAAAACCTATTATATTTTATTTTTAATTACTAGTCCAGTTTTGTGACTAATGTTTCATGAATGAGGACTTAATGTAAGATTATGTATTTTACGACATTATAATGATTGATTAGAATTATTCAGAAGTGTACTACTAAAAGTACCAAATACGAATTAAGTGTGAAGTAAAGGTTGAAAATTAAAATGATTATACTGGAATAACCCATGATGATCCCATGAAAGGCTTAGGAAAATTTTGATACACCTAAAAATCATGTGAGAATCGCATGTAGTCAAACATTGCCAATCCAGCTCATGATTTGATCCTATTGTGAACATAGAAAAGTATTGGAATCAGAGATGGAGAAGAACAATGTAAAATCCATCACATTTTAAATTTGAATGAGTGAACAATTGTGTAACTAAAGTATTATAAATGAAGATCTAATGTCACTCCATGTATAATACAGATGATAATAGATAATAAGTACTATTTATATATGTGCTAAAATAAAAAAATAGGAATAAAACATCATGTGGAGAATAAATATGAAAAAATATCTACCGGGATTTCTCATGATAATCATGTGTCTTTCTTTTGAAAAAATATTAAAAGGCAAAAGCAAAGTATAACAAACCTAAACAAATTATGTTAGAATCGCATAAAATCCAATATATTTATCCAAATAAATGATGATTTGACCATGTCTTGAGAAGACTGATGTTTTGTCACGAGAGAAGGAAATGAAAACTATACTATGAATAATCATGAAAACAGCGTGAAAAACTTACTCCATCACAAGAAGACCAATATGGTAAGATAAAAATTTGGGCTCATGTCGAGCGACTCCTAACTATAAATAAGAGAAAGCCTACTCAAATGGGTTACAAATTTAACAACGGAAAATAAACACCTCTCTAGTCCCCCATCTAATCTACAATATAGGAAAATGATAGACAATAAATCCTCAACCCATGCCCACCACCAGAAAGCCTTTTTTTGGTATTTATGTAATATAGATAGGAAAATTTGGATTTGGCACATTAGATTTTAAATGTTAAGAGATACTTAGATTAAGAGCAAATGATTAGATAAAGTCTGTTAATTATTAGAACTAACGTATTTACAATTCATTTTACGAGTAGTAAACATTATGGAACCTTCTGCCTTATGACTAGCATAAATGAATTGTAAATATATTAGTTATCATAAATAACATAGATCAATTGGACTATAATCATATCCTTCTTTATCTAAATCTCTTTTATTGTTGAAAATCTCACGCGTCAATTCCAAATATTCCAATCTCTATAACATCAACATAAGAAAGGAATTCTGGTGATTGTGGTAGGATAATTGTCTATATGTCCTCTGTGGTAGATTAAATGGGGGACCTCACAGGTGTTGGTTTTCATTTCGGAAGATGTAAGGAATTTGAGTAGTGTCTCTTTATAATTGTTAGGAAACTCTAGTGATTTTCTCTCAAGACAAGCCCCAATTTGTGCCTAACCAAGTTGGTTTTCTTGT